AGCATTCTCATCTCTATTATACTCATTCTCTCATTACTCCTACTTATTTTTAATCTCTTAAATTTAAGAGTTGATTTCCACAATTCTAGCCTTTGATTAATTTCCTCCCTATTTTCTCCTATTAACACTGTAGTATGTATCGTCAGCAAACGACATACACCATGGCACCTATTCTTGTATTTCTTTAGTAATTTCATCTATCACTATAGAAAATAATTAAGGGCTTAAAGCAGAACCTTGGTGAACTCCCTCTCTCCTTCTCCTTCCCAAAATCTTCTGTTACTTCATCCATACTGTTTACCCGGGTACAAGTGCCATCATATATACTTGCTTTTATATAAATGTACCTTTTTGGGACTACTTTTCTCATTAATGTCCACTTAAAAACCTCTCTCGATACTCTATCATACATTTTCTTCAAATCTATAAATACAATACTCAGCTTTTTCTTCCTTGAATGTAGAGAAACTGATGTTTCTTTTCTTATTCTTTTGTGATTACCTTTTTCCAAATCTTCATACTATGGCTCATAAACTTTACGCCTATAATTTCTACACTTCTGTATGTCTCCTCGAACTTAAAATATTGATACGACAGTACTATTACTTCATTCTTTTAGCATTTTCTCTTCTAATAGGATTTTATTAAAAATATTCTTTAACTACCTTATGCCAATACCGCTTAATATTTTCGATACTTCTACTGGTATCTCATCTGGTTCGACTGCTTTATTCTTTTTCATTGATGACTCTATATAAAATATGTATTAATGATAGCAATATCAATCGATACAGCGAAATCTAGGATTCTTTTTCCAGCCTCTCACTTCTCAAGCCTTCTAACTAAAACTATACCCTTCATGTACTCTTTCATATCTCCTCCTCTTATTATGGACATGTCTATTCATATCTCCACCTACTACCGAATCCTCACTAACATGTATTCCTTGCATCACCTCATCCATCTCTCTCCAAAACACTTCCTAGTCTATTTCATAACATTCTACTTGTAGTGCATAAACATTTTCTACATTAAAAACTTATTTCTCCTATACCATTATTTGTATTTGTTATACTGGAATATATTATTTTATAACTTACATCTATTTCCCTTTCTTTTCCTTTCACTTAGTTTGCTGTACATAACAAATATAAAATTTTCTCCTCTTAAAGACTTCTTCTAATTCTTTACTTCTACCAGTTAATGTTCCAACATTACACGTACCTACTTTTACTTGGTACCTATCTTTTTCGCCTAAAATGAGTCCAGCCTAAAGTTGAGTGATGATGTTGACATTACAAGTATTAGGTAAGCCTGTACATATAACTGGTGAAACAGCAATTGCCCAAATTGTCAGGCTACAATCAAATACTTTGTTCTTTAGTCCTTCTTTGTCTCTAACTACTTTACTTCTTTTCACCTGTTATCCCCGCGTGTATCCAAAATGTGACAATCCGCTTAAGTTTTGAACAGGACTCCTCATACTTTTTAATAAAATTTTAAAATGTTATGACCTGACACAACTTTATTAGTCGCTTCTGACGACGGGTAGAGGGACCGTAGAAGTATTCTTATCCCATTGCACAGGGAAATTAAGTTTAATTAATAGCTTCTTTTAACTGAAGAACATACGAGATCCTTAATACATAGTTAAAATGTTTTTAATAAATATAATGTACTTAAATAAAATATATATATAAACAGAGTATCACAACTGACAAAGCTTATAACATTTAATTCAATTATCATTTTGTTAAATATTTTAAACAATTATTGGTTTATTAGACTACGTTTAAAGCAAATTTTTTTATTATTTATGATAAATAAAAAAAAAAATTTTTTAATTTTTTCAAAACTCTAAAATAGCCATTTTTTTAGCCTTGTTCTTACTAAAATATTTGGTAAATAATTAACAATTTTAGGACAAGTTCTTATTGAAGTACAATCATTTTAATACATAGAGCGGGTATGGTTTGCGGGTGGTTTATACGTACTCTAGAACGAGCGTATTTACACTTACTACATACTTGGTCTGGCGATATTTCGATGTACCGAAAAAATACTGGTATTAAGATTTGACGGTATTTATAATTACCATTAGTTGTAAGTACCGGTATATTAATTTTTTCGATACTTACAGTAATAATCGAATTAATGATAATTACCAAAATTCGGTGTTTACCAAATTCCGGTAATATTAATTTTTTTTTATAATCTAATTGGTTTATTGTACTTGTTATTAGAGTAATATTTAACAATTTTAATTAATTAAGAACAATATTTTTGAATAATTTTACTAAAACTATTGAAATTTTATATGAATATTTTAATATTATTGTTGTGCATTCATTAAAAATAGACAAAATGACAATAGCATAATACAATGATCCTAAAATTGTATCAAATTCACAGTAGAAACTGGAAAACACACAAGTATGGTAATATCAATGAAAACTATGTATCTATCGATAATTATAAAATAAAAGTATGTATATACAATAATACATTTATATTGAAAAGAAATTTATAGCGTAAAATATTTAGTATTGAAAAGTAGTAATTTTAATTTATAATTATCAAAACGATGTATCATTACTTCTTACGCTTGATGTGTGTATTGCTAGAATATTATGGTATAGAATGATAATTTAGTGTATATGTTATAAAAATAGCTCTTAGTATTTCGCATTAATGATTAATGATAACACAGCATTCTATACTTACAATTCACTCTCAGAATAATTTTGAAGACATTTATATAGAACTAAGTTATTCATTATGGTTCTATCGACAAGCTGATAATTTCGTTTGTACTTAAACTGTATTTATACCTATGATTTATATGTATCGTTAATAAAAATAAGAATTCGAAAATATTGAACTTTAATGAAGAATTTTCAATTATGAGTTTACTTTATTCTCATATAAAAGTTTCAATTATTTTTGAGTTTTAAATGTCTAGAAACAAATTTATATGATTACATATTTTTATGATTAGATATTTTTAAATTTCATTTTTACTATAACCTAAGTAGCACAACTTGGAAAATGGATAAATTTTTAAATAATAAGTTTGGTTTTAGTATGGCATACTGGATTTACAACTTTTGGTAACTATTGATATATCATTGAGATAATGGTTGAAGGTACTGTTAGGTGGTTTATTCATTTAATGAATAGTCTTATACAATTGTTCAGTAAATTGGCCAGTGTAATTTTACTCTAAATTATTGATTTCATTCAAAAGAAAAGAACTAAATAAATAAACTCGCAGTCAAAGCTGACTATTAATATGTAATGTTTAATATTCAGGGTGTTCAGTAAGTAAGGATAAGAGTTTCTATTGTAACAATTGATCTGTTTTCCTACTTTTTGAATACTCTGTATATACATAACATGTTAGTGTGTCATATGTTTTTTATTAGAATTATAGGACTTGTGGTCAAACGTAATAAAGATTGTATCATTAAAAAAGTTCTATGTTAAATTGAAAATCTATTATAAGTAAAACATATATTATCTGGAATAAGAACTAGATTGAAAAAAACAATTTTTTTAAAGAACTATTTTTTTCTTATATATACTCTTTAAAATTACTTTTTTGGAAACATCTTGATAAACTTCTTTTTTAGCACTTTTTTCTTATTAGGTTTTGTATAGTATAAACTTGTTTTTTCTCGATGTCAAACTTATGTTTTTTTTAATCAAATGGAAATCGTTAGATATTGTGTGCATGAACGTATTTTCAAATTGATAAAAGTTTCAGGCAACGTATATATTTTGTAACGTCTGATATCCTGTTAACCTTGTTGAGAAAACGTATAATGGCGGCAAATGCCAATACATATTCTATTAAAAGTATTAGTATATCTGCTCCAAGAGTGGTCCTTTGAAAGAACTTCTTTAATAAGACTTCACCGTGAATAAATATACATTTCTATATATTATATTGTATATATTTTGATCGTATACAAATTTATTTTTTATAAATAAAACTTTCTGCCTAATAATCCTAGACATCTCAAAATAATATTACCTAATTTATACTTAGTAAATCAATAAATATTACTCATAATTTGAAATTTCCTTTCATGTTAATCAATATAAGTAAAAATTAAAAAAATACTTATTGTACACACTTATAAAGACTGTATTATACCAAATAACGTTACTATTATTCTATATATACAGAGTGTTCAATAAGTAAGGAAACAAGTAAATTATTACAAACATTGAGAAGAATAGAAACCCGTTTCCTTACTTACTGAACACCATATATATATATATCATAAAAACGATCAGAGTATTTGTAACTATACTAAAAAGTTCAAATAATTTAAAATTTAATGGTTGGGTCAATTCTTAACAAATCCAAGTTATGATATTCTTAATTAATAAGATCTATACAGTTAGTAGCATACTTGCCCCAATACATTTATGCACTGGGGCAAGTGTATTATCGCTTATAACTAAATTATAATAATATTTCATATTATCTAATTGTTAAAATATACGGGATAACAAGTGTAGTTAATTGTTTAGTTGAAATCTATCACATGAAAATATTAGTATTTGACCATGTACCAAATGGTATCTAATTTTTTTATGCGAGTAATAATAGACTATGTTACCCGATATTTAATAATTCTATAATATAGAATTATTTAATAGGGCTACGGACTTAAAAGTTTGAACAGTTAAAAGAGAACAGCGTGTAACGCTTTGATGAAATGTTTTCTAATGAATAATTATGTTATCACGTCCAAATATGCAGCAGACACACTTATCCCATTACTCCTTATAAAAAAAAATCTTATAGATAACGTCAATGTATGATTTATATTGAACAAAAATAAAGCAACCTAAGAAATTAATGATATATTTTTATTTAACAAATAAAATAATTCAAGGACGCTTATTCGCTTCAAAAATATGTGTTAATATTTATATAAAATAATTTGTAATAACTCTAATTAAAATATTTATTGATGTGTTAATAGGTAAAATAACCAAGGAAAAAATGCCTCGAGGTGCTGACACAATACTCTGGCAGATCAAATCACCGTACGCTACATAGCTCTCTCAATCTGATGAAAAAATTGAACTAAAGTACTGCATGACTGACTAACACTAATCGACGGCCTGGAGCGTCGAGAAAATATAATAAATAAATAAAAACAATATTAAAGATGATACCTACAAATGTCATGTCATTTATCAACAAAGTTAGTATTTGTTTGATTTAATTTTTTTTTTTAATTACAAAAGACACTTAACTTATGAATTAATTTATTAAAACAAATCAAATCTTGGTTAGATTAACTAAAATTATTAAATTGAATAAATCATCTCTTAAATGTCTATTCTAACTATTTGGGTCGGATTTATCTTACAATGATTTGACACTCGCTGGAGACTTGATGCAACCTCATTATACTATTAAAGTTCCCGTATGGTCACCCATCCAGGAACTAACAGCAAACATCAGCACTAAAACGGCAACACTTTTAAAATTAAATTATACAGAATTCAGTAAGTAAGGAAACAGATCAATTTAAACAAATAGTGAGAACAATAAAAACCCGTTTCCTACCTTACTGAACACTATATGAAACTAAAATGATATAATTTAATTGGAATTAAAAAGTATAAAATTAATATTTTGAAAAAAAAGTTTGGATAATGTTTTTGTTTCTCTTTGACCAAAGTACATTCTGATATTCTTTGTACTTTGTTTTCTATATTGACCACAACACGTATCAAATATTGTATCAAACACTTATTCTTGATGATCAATAGACACTTAAGTCTAACTTTCTTCGATGGTTTTTTTCTTGTTTTCTTTAAGTACTTTTTGGTTGGGTAAATACTTTGATGGCAGTATATTAAATGACAAGTTGAAAAGGATCCATTAAGCTCTGAAAAAAAAGAAAGCAATAGGTGACATTGTGCGTGTGTGTAAACATAAATGTCGAGCAAGGAAAGAGGTGAGGTGTCGTAAATGGAGTAATTGACGGTCATCGACTAGTTTACACAATTATTTTTACATTTAACGAATGAAAAGATACATAGAAACACGAAATAAATATTCGAAATTAAATTTATCAAAACAGTAAACATACAATTGCTTTAAACAAAAAATTAAAATTCCATTAAAAAGTTGTAGTAAATATATTTTTTTTAAATATAGACCAGTTGATGAATAATATAAAATGGGTCATCTATGATGAAGTAAAAAATTGAGCATAAACCGGCTTTTAAAATATTAGTAGCAATTATTTGATAATTATGCAGATTAATGTTTTTATACTGTTTATAACAAAGAAAAAAATAGAAGGAATTAGTTTGACTTGAAGTATTGGATTATGCGTTTTTCTCCTCTAACCATTCTGTCCTCGTAGATGGACACCCAACAATGTCATGGCACCTCTCTGGGTATTATGGATAAGCCCGGATACCAGAGCAAGTTTGAAGAACGACGATTAATCAGAGTTGTCGGGGTCTGTCAAGGACGGTTCTCTTTTCCTTGTTGATAAATTTTCATGCACTAACACAAAAACATGGAATTTTAGAATATTGTATAATATCGTAATTTGTCTTTGCCTAGTAGATAAATATTCTTATTATAAATACACATGTAAAATATAATACCATTTAAAGATGGCATAAATTTTATGAAACACGATATGATGTATTGTGTCAATGAAAATTAGCCGCTCAAGTAATATTACTTTCTGCAACATCTGGATTTTTTAATTCTCATACAATAACAAAGGTTTATTCTAAAATTTACGCACTTTTGTCCAATTACATTAGGTTAGTTAATGTTTTTAGAATTACACCGAAAATTTAAGTATATTATTTAATTAAATAGAGAGTATAATGCCAGTGGTATGAACAATAGTAAAATTATTGTGGTAGGTACGAAAAGGGAAAATAAATTAAATTGGTACTATAAAAATTGCTAGCAGTGTTAACAATACTGGATTGGATTTGTTGTAGAGCTTTTGTACATAGTTTAAAATAACTTCTGTAGAAAAAGCTGATTTCCTTCAAACAGTTAATAACAAATAATAGAATAAGTGACTATTTAATTGTTATTTTGTTATATATATATTAGTTAAGCAGAAATTTCATTAAAATAATTGTTTTGTATAGTCAAAATATCTAGTTAAACATTTAAAAATTACAATTGCTTAATATGTACAATGATAATTTATTCATAAATTCGAGTGAAATTTTATTTAGTAGCATTTTGTACAAGTTACTTTGTTTTAATTATAAATTCTTGTTGAAATTCCACTTTACTTGTATTTCCAACTCATTTACTCATAACTTTGTATTATTTATATTTGAAGTTGCTATCTTGTTTTGCGCATTCTCGTTCTCTGTTCAAGAAGTAATACAAAAAGAGATTGGTAAAAATTCGTAAATCTTCAATTGTGAAAACGATAAAAGTAATTTAATAGATTGATTCACAGTATTTTTCAATTAACACTTAAAAGAGTATTCAGTTTAATCTTAATGTACTTTTTTTATTTGTTGTTTAACAATATTCTTTAGATAACAGTATAATTCATAATAAAATGTTTTTGTCATTAAAGACTAACATTAATCAGTATTTTAAATAAAATTCGATCATAAGTAGCATAGATTATAAATGCATCGCAGAATATTTGAATTAAATACGGGATTCGTGATATGTTTATTGATATACCTATTTTAATTAATTTTTCAATTATATCTGCACTTAATATTTTAGTTTTAAGATTTTGTCTAGTTCCTTTGAACATCTTTGAATATTAGCCAAGTACTTCACTACTAATAATTTTCTAGTAGGTATTGAATTTGGAAACACATACTTTAAATTATTGCTAAGGCTTGTAGTACGATAATGTTATTTTATATTAGTACGGCGTAATGAATATGCAAAATTAGTACTTAATTGTATAGTACAATGTTGTACAAAAATAAATTTTTTTATTTTTTGTAAATATTTTTGGATGAATTATTTTGTGGTACCAGTTTTGTATAACAGAATTAGACTATACCAGTTGCTATTTTTGTGAAAATAATAAAATACTGTTTTTGAAATGTTTATTTAATGAGTATTCCTAATGTAGTCTCGACACATTTTCAAAAAAAGAATTAGACTCGGGGATAATTTAACTCTAGTGTTCAGATTTTTGTAAAATTTAAAGTTTAACATCAATAATTAAAAAATTAATTGGAAGATTTTCAATATAAATTTTTAAAACCTATGAAACAAGTTTCTCGTAATAATTATATTTATTTTTTGAGAATTAATAATGAAATACAGTTATATATAAAATATAATCAAACTATACCTTAGTATAATTTGGTAAAAATGGTAGTCAACTACTGTCAATAATTATAACAATTTTAATTCTTAACGGAACTCTATTATTAAAATTTATCTTTGTTTTTAGTTGTGATTCTTTTATATTTTAGTTTTTTCATGTGAGTATTTTTTTAAATTTTAGTAAATTTCGTTTATTTACATCTACATTTACTTAATTACAGTTAAATTTTAATTTAATATACTAAAATTTTTTTATTTGTGAATATTTAGTAAATAATTATTCACAAGTATAGTTAATAGATTATAAAGGTTATTTTCTTCCCTCAATTAAAATGAACCACTACTATATATACATGTATTTAAAAAAGATTGTGTTCATTTAGCGTGTTATTTTATTTGCGCTAAATTTACTTTTTGTGAATTGAATAATGTAGACTGAAAAACTAGATAATCCTTAAAACAAAATAAGAGCTTCTTGTCCATTAACTAAGATATTTTTAATGCACATAAAAAATATAAAACAACGAAGAATAGAATAATAATTGATCATTTGTGAATAATATTATTTGAAATTAAAAATTACATTTAAAATATTAATTTAGGTAAGTGGCCTACTTAGCTTATTCGGTAACATGTTGAGCCTCAGTAAATAGGTAACTGGTTCGATTCTGTTGCACTGGCCTATGTACGTTTTCTCGACCTATCTATTACAAGCAATAGCTTTTAAAGAGCACGTTAAATATAATTAATAATAATAATAATAATTAAACTAAAAAATATTCAACTTAAAAAGCGACAAAAATTACTAAACAATTGCGTACGCGCGAAGAAGAATAATCATATCAATGATTTAAAGTGCTATTATTTATAATATGCCATTCAAATAAAATCGTATGGTCAACGTGTTAAATTTGTTGTAAAGATGTATAACAGTCGGTAATTTAAAAAGTAGTCGTAATTCGATGAGATTATTTATATGGGACTCTATTTCAGATATTCGCTTTTAGGATGTACATAGAAAACGCAGTAATAAAATTTAAGTGAACGCAACATGTAAGATTAACAGAAAAACGATGTACGTCGTTGCAATAAAAAAAAAAGATAGGGGAGACTTAACTTGTTATGTAAATCACACTCATAGGTCTCTGTTTATTCTAGTAACAAGAAAGTCGAAAATAGATTGTATGTTTTTGTATTATAACACTTTTTGATATTCAAAATCCAAAGTTCATTAAATGAACTTCAAATTTTTAGGTGAAGTAATATGCAATAATTAATAATATCTTCTATAACCATGATTATATATGTTAAGTGTATAAATTGAAAGTGTGTTAAATTTGAAATATGTACTTCTGAAGTACGTAAAAACTAAAGGAACGCGTAAGCACTACTAGAGACATTTGTTTTTGTAAGTGTGCATCGCGTACTTTATGATGTTGTTATATTGAAACAGCTAAAAGATCCTCGTAACAAAGCGAAATTCCTTTGTAATTTGTATATTAATTTACATACGCTTTTATTCTCTTGTTTACTTTTTACGGACAACTGATCACGGCGTTGACAGAGGTAGAACCGAGATGACGTGTTATTTTGTACTTTTTGTCGGTCCATTCACACAGGTCTTTTCTTATAAGTAATTCTAAGAAATCATCGACAATTCGATACCATTCATACTTGTGTAAGACGCGTTTGAAGTATTGATTATTATCTACAGTGAAAAGGGTGGTGGAGTCCACAAAGTCGTGAGTACGCACTTACTTTCCGGGAAACTGTTGCTAGATCGCCACTGTCTTATAATCTTCCCATTTACCCGCCAACCTGTTCTTTTATAGCATCTTACCTTTCATCATTAAATGCCAGACTTTTAAGTTTGTTTATTCAATGTCGTAAATTGCCAACATA